AAATTTTAGGCTTCTTCAATAAGCCTGGCAATCAAAAGCAAAACAATGGAAAAATATCAATGGGAAATGTCTAAGCTTCCGAAACATGTCTTTATCTTCAACAGATGAATGGGATGTCCTGCATGTCGCATTTGCTGCAAAATTAAACGAAACGAAACTTAACGGACTGGCAGGTATGTCTATCATTTGGCTAAAATGGGGCCAAGCAAAGACCCGGACACTTCCATTCATGCCACTTCTGAAATTAAAACAGCCGTGAATTGTTCAAGGAATATGGGAAAAAAATATAATACTCAAAGTGCATTTCTGAAATGTGAACCTCTCTACCCATTCATCTGCTTATCTTGACTATTAGATGCTTAAGTTTATCATACGGACAGTGTTCATGAGGCTCAAAAGACCATGGTTAACTCTTGTCCAGAGCTGATGGGTTAGTTATTTCTTTCATCAAAAAAATTAAAAGCTCTTAAACTAATCGCAAAGAATCTCACCGCAAACCTTACCATTGCTGAGATCTGTAGTTTTGTGGCAGCATTTGCAATTAAGTACATATGAAAATAAATGTTTTTCTATATTAAACATTATGCTGTCTACCAATACAATTAATGTGCATGCAATATAATTAGGGAATGAGTGTGAGCATTAACGCCTTAGTGTGTGTTTTCATCTGTACGTGTTTGTACGTTTCTGTGCGTGTAGATTTCTTTGTACAATGAAAACCCATCACACAGTGGAGGCTCCCTTGATCCTACCGGTTTGTTAAATATAACTACAAAGATATAAGCAACTGTCTGATTATTTTTCTATCTAAGGTAGGTCACTTTAACTAGAGAACATTTGGCACCAGTCAAAACCAAGTAAAACATTCAAAGTTCACCTAAAATAACAAATACAGGTTTTATCATGTGCAGATATGGGATGCAGCCAACAGCACTATTGTATTATTTGTACAAATGTAAAACCTGTATTCCACAACATGAATCTGCTTGCCTATGATGTGAAATAAGTTCGATCTCGTCAGAGCTAAACAATTAAGTCGGGTTGAGCCTGGATAGGCCTTGGGTGGGTGAACCACATGTTGTTATTTGCCCGAAGGGCTATGTGGTGGGAAGTAGAGGGAAGCGTATAAAAATCAATTATACTGTAATTCTATGCTCCCACATCTATGCTCCCAGGCTTCACCAACCCACACGGACAACTGCTTCGAAGCGTGGTTAAACAACCCCTATTACCTGCATGGCGTGGGGAAGCCCTCACCCAGCAGTGGACTTCATAAAAGGGCTGTAAGTGTACAGCCTGGCACAAAACGTTAAAACCTCACAACACTGTCAACAGCACTGTAAAAATGTAATTTGAAACCCGAATTTGCCGTGCGTTAATTCACTTCGCTGCTTAAAGACCTTTTTGGGACAAAAGAGCACAGAGAACGTGGTGGTTATTTTAGACCCGTCGCCATTCGTGTTGATGCATGCACATTGCATCGGCAGACAAGAGCCTCCCATGCCTTGAGGGCTTGCAGAAGGCAGCAGCCTGGAAAAAAAAATCCTCTCGAGAGCAGAACAAACGAGGCTGACTCACAGGACAGGTAAGCAGTGTCCTTCAGCTGCCTGTCCCTCTGCACGGACAAGCCCTTCTGATCTTTCTGGCGGTCGTGGCTCAGCGTAGGGTGCCGGGGAGGGGGTAAGTTCAAACGGAAGGTGCACAATCCCCTCTGGAAAAGCACCCCGGTTCAAATAGGGAGGGAGTCTTTTTATTAGAGGCCACCTACTCGCCGCACCGGCAATCTTCAAACAAAAAATGCGTGGCGAGTTTAAACTTTCAATGGCCCCTTCTTGACCCCACGGGTGGTGTATGGTGTTGCTCACAAATATAATAAACTAATGTGGAATAATTCACGGCCCTTTCTCCATCCAGTGCTTGGATGAAGGACTCACCACACCGTGTTGGTCGTGGGGGTTGTTTGACCATAATTCACCATGCTGGTGAGTTCAGATTGGTGAAAGCAGGCAGCATAGGCATGGGAGCATAGTAGTACCGTACAACACGTTTTTCTGCACTGCCATCTGCTGTCCAAAACATAGCCTCGCAGCCTTTTAATTCGGACATAAAGAACCCTGAATAAGGGCTACATTGTGGGAATAAGAGGGACAGCGTGGAAAAATCAATTTCTATGCTCGCACATCTATGCCTCGCCACCTTCAACCCGCACTGACCAAGGTGGTGAAGTATGGTCAAAAATCCACAATGACCGACAAGGCATGGGAAGGCCCTTATGCAGCATTGGATTGACAACCGGTTGTCCGTGTGCACACACACGAGAACGTTGAATAAGGACAAACGTTTCTCGTTCGTCACGCGGACACACAAACAAAACACGCGCACTGTGTCACGCCAACACACGCTGACGCACGAGCACAGGTAAAGGCCACGCCGCACCACAAGTGGCCGGTAGGAGTAAACGTTGGGCTGCTGTGGGCGCGATCAGCAGGGTGGAGCGTGAGTCGGGACCAGTGTGGATATTTCTGTCGTTTTGACCTTTTACATCCGCAAATGGCAACAGTTGGGGGCAAAGTGGGGGGGGGGGGGGGGTGAAGGCAAGCCAGAGGAAAACTATAGATGGGAGGGAGGGGGCAATGGGAAGAAGCCATTAAATAAAAACGTATGCCAGACTCTCTGATCTCCTGATGGTTTAAACAGCCTCAACAAACATAAAGACAAAAATCCCCAACAACACACACCAACAAAAACTACAAACCGATAAACTATCAACAAAAATTGTGCACAACTATGAACACAACTTTCCAACACCGCACGCTGTGCAGCAATTAAAACAGGTAATTGAAGCGATGTATACAGCCAGAAATGTTATACATTTTAGAGATTAATTTCAATTTATTCCGTATAATTGGCCAAATATCCCAATTAAAGGACCCTCCTGAAAATGTCTGGCTGACTCAGTAAGGCTATCCTGGATACATTGAATTGTTAATTCTAACGATCATAACTTAAAGCCTTTTTCAACCACACTGCTAGAAAAAGCTCTCATGTGCTGTGAGTCGTGGTGATTGTTTCACCATACTTCACGAAACTGGTTAGTGCAGGTTGTGGGCCGAGGACAATTTCAGATATCACTCACCACTGATGCAAGCCGTAGCCACGAATCGAACTCAATTCACCAGGTTTCAGAGCACAGTCTGCTAAACACAGCATCACCGTTCCAGCCAAACACTATTACTGAAATAGGATTGTGCTACGTTACAAAAATAAAAGATGGTCGAGTGACGATGCGCATGACAGCGCAATACATGACAGAATAACAGTGTTAAACCACTTCGCTATCGCCGCATGTTAGTGCACAGTAACCTTCACACAGGCAGAGTTCTACTTGCACACCACCGGAAATCATTAAGGATATACATCTCTAAGCACAGCATAACCATCTTACTGCAGAAAATGAATTATTAATTACGTTAAGAACTAAACAAGAAGAAACCTGATAACCTCAGCACCAGGGAGCCAAATGTGCAAAAATTAGGTGCTGTGCCATCTGAAGAATCAGCAATTACACCGCAGCGACGAGGGATTTTACAGCACCGCTGACATTAAGATGAGGAAAGCCCCTTCCCCAGCTGGGTGTTGGATTTGCATAATTAGAAGTTTTTAATTATATTTTTTAACAACAGGACTCACCCTTCTCAATCCCTTTCACTGCTCTCCTTTGCTATTTATGCTTCAAAAACGCTGTCAATCGCTCAAAGACTGAAACGTATTCTTCCTTACTCTTTGGTTCTTTCGGTAAAGTCACGTAGGTATAAAATAAAATAAATCACAACTTTTCGGGCGCAACACAAGCGTCCATCATCAGGTGGGAAAGCATGGTCTGCTGCTGAGGCAAACAGTCTGCCTCAGCAGCAGACCATGCTTTCCCACCTGATGATGGACGCTTGTGTTGCGCCCGAAACGTCCTGATTTATTTTATACCTACGTGACTTTACCGAAAAAACCAAAGAGTATGGATTCCTGCAGTCACGAAAGCTTCAAATCAAGATTGGTATTCTTCCTTGTTGGCTGCTTCTCCAGTTTAGAGTGGTCTTTCTGTTTATGACCAGCTTCTCAATTAGATACATCTGTAATTGGTAAACTTCCCATCATGCCAATTTAACATATATTATTCTACTTAAAAATATATAATCACTAACCAATGTAGAGAAACCTGGTTAAACAACCTCCATTGCCAACACAGCGTGGGGAGCCCTTCATCCAGCAGTGGATATACAAGTTAAAGTATAGTGATTTCCTCCTCAAATGAGCATTGAGGTGGTGCTCAGCTTAGGTTTACAGCCATGAGTCAGTGGTGGTGAGTTTATTCCTTGGACAGTGTTGGATTAACAAAAAAGTGGTACTGGTTTTATCAATCCCTGAAGGATGATGGGCTCAGTCAACCCTTGAAACAGGAATTGAACTCGCAACATACCGATTGTGAGCTGCTCGCTCTACCACTGACCCTCTTGGCTGGATTTACAAAGGCATTATTGTTAAAATATCTAAACACTTCAAACCATAAACAATAGGAGTATGGATAAATTAAATTGTGTGTATATGTGAGGAGCGGTCGTGTAGCGATTAGTGTGCTACGCTACGAACCCGGTGACCCAAGTTGATTCCCGCTCACGGCCAATATTAGCAACTCGGCCTCAAATAAGTACCTGGTGCGGTGTGTAAACATCTCCTATGGGGAGACAAAGGCGGTTGAGCGTGGTGCTGGCCACACACCCCCTCGTGTACCATTCCGGCCTTCATAGGTGCTTGCTAACTGCACTTGCCCCAACAGTCTCTTAAGGCTAAACGGAGGATCTTTTTCTTTATATATACAGTGTGCATAAGTAAAACAACCAGCATTACAGATTGTTCCCAAAGCCAGAGAGGCTCCATTTCCAGCAGGGCAAGAGGGCAGTGTGCAGAGCTTAGGTGAGAAAAGCCCATTCATGGCTGCAACTTACGCAGAGCTGTACCAACAATTCATCGAGTGCCTTCATGGCCTCCACGCTCGCCGCCTTTGTCTTTTTGGTCAGGTACTTTGCCTGCACCCATACAAACATGCACAGACATCAAAGTGAAATTAATGCACACGAACATTGAAAACGCATGTTGGCACCAAACTATCAGCTAAATAATCACCCATGCCACGATGGCGAGATAACTCGCCTGGTTTCCAAGAGGGTGTGGGTTCGATCCCGACCCTGACCCCTGTATATTTGGAGTTTGCGAATTCTCACAATGGTCGCGTGCATTTTCTCCGGGTTTTCCAATTTGTCCTTCCACATTTAGAAACATGCGTTCATAGTACTGTATTTGGCTGATATAAATATCCACGTGATAAACCACTTTATTTCTATCATTTGTGGCCAAGTCGCTTCTGAAAAAGAGATATATATCCCAGTGGGCCTTACCAAGTAAAATAAAAAAAGTTTAATAGTTTAAAAGCTGAACAAAGAGCAGTATTTGCCATGACAAGCATACAATAATCCACCTATTCTGAATGTCCCTTTCGAAAAGTGCTGTTGAGAGGCACTTATGAAGGGTGAATGGTGGTTGTGATCATTATTGGTATAATCATTAGTCTCCCTTGTGATTTATTCAATTTATATTTTTTGGGTCTTTCGGTAAAGTCACGTAGATAGGTTCAAAGAAAATAACAAAATAACCAAAAACTACGACGTCGTAGTTTTTTGTTATTTTCTTTGAACCTATCTACGTGACTTTACCGAAAGACCCAAAGAATATGAATTCCTGCAGTCACGAAAGCTTTAAGTCGAGATTAATTGAATTGTTGCGATTAAAGTTACAATTCAATTCAATAAGTTTTGTTTAGAGTATATGGCTGCTATCAATTTCCACATGATAAGCCACTTCGTTGAGTTATCATTTGTGGACAGGTCACTTCCGAAAAAAGAGCTATATAGCTCAGTGGGCCTTACCTGGTGAAATAAAAATAAAAAAAATAAAGGGAAAACATGTGGTGAATTTAGCAGCCACTATGTGATGGAGGAGTCACTTAAACCCAATATATGAAACATCCGAATTAGAAAAAAACATTATAACATAGGGAACTTGATGCATCTTGGCTTCCTGTCTCTGAAATCTTTTTTTCAACCACATCAACAGGGAAAGTCAATGTGAGTTCAGCTAAAAAATGTCAATCTTGCCCATGAGCAGGTAATGCATAATGCTCAGATGATACAGTGAGGGAAATAAGTATTTGATCCCCTGTTGATTTTGTATGTTTGCCCACTGACAAAGAAATGATCAGTCTATAATTTTAATTGTAGGTCTATTTGAACAGTGAGAGACGGAAAAACAACGAAATCCAGAAAAACGCATGTCAAAAATATAATAAATTGATTGGCATTTTAATGAGGGAAATAAGTATTTGACCCCCTCTCAATCAGAAAGATGTCTGGCTCCCAGGTGTCTTTTATACAGGTAACGAGCTGAGATTAGGAGCACACTCTTAAAGGGAGTGCTCCTAATCTCAGCTTGTTACCTGTGTTGTGGACTAAATGACAACACGAAGGCAGACGTTGTCGGGGCTGACGCCAACAGTGTATTAAAGGCTATAGCCTAGCTTTTGGGGAAGGGCTAACACAGGACTTGGATAAGCTAAATCTCCCCAGGGGAAAGGTACTGGGAATCCCTATGCCCCCCCAGGCTAACGGGCTCTTCCCATCGCGCTGACCAACTCGGCCAGCCGGGTAAAGTAGCCCCCCCCTAGCCTGGTGCTATTTATCGCCTACCCTGGGTCCCCACTTCCCTACCGCTCACGAACCCGGCTCCTGGCGATGACCCCGACCACGTCATGGGTCCCCCCTCAAATACCCCGAGGGGACATGACGTCACTCCTCCCGAGGCGAGTGTGACATTCCGTCATCCCTCTACTCCTCAACACCTGTATAAAAAAGGCACCTGTCCACAGAAGCAATCAATCAGATTCCAAACTCTCCACCATGGCCAAGACCAAAGAGCTCTCCAAGGATGTCGGGGACAAGATTGTGTACCTACACAAGGCTGGAATTGGCTACAAGACCATTGCCAAGCAGCTTGGTGAGAAGGTGACAACAGTTGGTGCGACTATTCGCAAATGGAAGAAACACAAAAGAACTGTCAATCTCACTCGGCCTGGGGCTCCACGCAAGATCTCACCTCGTGGAGTTGCAATGATCATGAGAACAGTGAGGAATCAGCCCAGAACTACACGGGAGGATCTTGTCAATGATCTCAAGGCAGCTGGGACCATAGTCACCAAGAAAACAATTGGTAACACACTGCGCCGTGAAGGACTGAAATCCTGCAGCGCCCGCAAGGTCCCCCTGCTCAAGAAAGCACATATACATGCCCGTCTGAAGTTTGCCAATGAACATCTTAATGATTCAGAGGACAACTGGGTGAAAGTGTTGTGGTCAGATGAGACCAAAATGGAGCTCTTTGGCATCAACTCAACTCGCCGTGTTTGGAGGAGGAGGAATGCTGCCTATGACCCCAAGAACACCATCCCAACCATCAAACATGGAGGTGGAAACATTATGCATGCTTTGGGGGTGTTTTTCTGCTAAGGGGACAGGACAACTTCACCGCATCAAAGGGACGATGAACGGGACCATATACCGTCAAATCTTGGGTGAGAACCTCCTTCCCTCTGCCAGGGCATTGAAAATCGGTCGTGGATGGGTATTCCAGCATGACAATGACCCAAAACACACGGCCAAGGCAACAAAGGAGTGGCTCAAGAAGAAGCACATTAAGGTCCTGGAGTGGCCTAGCCAGTCTTCAGACCTTAATCCCATAGAAAATCTGTGGAGGGAGCTGAAGGTTCGAGTTGCCAAACGTCAGGCTCGAAACCTTAATGACTTGGAGAAGATCTGCAAAGAGGAATGGGACAAAATCCCTCCTGAGATGTGTGCAAACCTGGTGGCCAACTACAAGAAACGTCGGACCTCTGTGATTGCCAACAAGGGTTTTGCCACCAAGTACTAAGTCATGTTTTGCAGAGGGGTCAAATACTTATTTCTCTCATTAAAATGCAAATCAATTTATTACATTTTTGACATGCGTTTTTCTGGATTTTCTTGTTGTTATTCTGTCTCTCACTGTTCAAATAAACCTACCATTAAAATTATAGACTGATAATTTCTTTGTCAGTGGGCAAACGTACAAAATACTTTTTTCCCTCACTGTAAGTAGTGCAATAACCGCTAAAAAGACAAATATCCCCCATATAGAGGTATATAATGCTTGGGCAAGTGCTGTTAGAAAGCACCTATGAAGGCCAGCACGACGTTTTGTCTCCACAGTGCTGATGTTTACACATTGCACCAGGTACCAATTTAATGCTGAGTCGAACTAAGTGATGGCCAAGATTGGTCCAAATAATTTCCATTTATTCTTGCCTTGGCCAGGTATCGAATTCTGGTGGCCAGATTCATAGCCCAGCAGGCTAACCACTATGCCACTACTCCACCCACCCGCTAACCGCTACACCACCGCCACACCCATCACACAAAACAGTTATTTAAAACAAGCAACCTAAACGAAAAATAGGAAATGCACCTTGCTCAGCGAATCCTTGCTCTGCGTGTCCTGGCTCAACAGATTCCCAGCGAGAATCACTCGGGCGATCCCAGCGGACGCCCGTTGCTCCCCGAGTCCCCCCAGCTGCCCAGTCGCCACGTCCACTAGCATTTGTAGGCCCAGCGTTGCGTCTGTGTTACGGCTGCCCAGTCCGATGCCCGATGTGAGCAACACATACCTGCACATGCCAGGGACATGGGTACGGAGCATAAACGTAACAAAATCGTACACGTTAACAGCTGTAAAAAAAAGTAAGCGTGCATGTCGCTAGAAGGGATGGGCGAGGGTGGAAACTATTGAAATAATATCAGCCAAGAGCGAGAACACACCCAAAAGAATGTACCCCACATAGATGGAGTAATGAAATCAGCTCGTGCGCAGATGCTAAGTGGACTGTTACATCGCGGGAAAGCAAGAGATGGTGATGGATTGGGGAGGATTTCATGTAGCAGTGTATTGATCATGGATGAATATGACAGAATCCCCAAAAGCTCAGCAACCTCGTTCTTCTCTCAAAAAGTTTAACTCAAGTGAAATAAATTTTTATTTTTTTATTTACAGGAATGTCAAGAAGATCCGACTGTTTTTCAAATAATCATACATACTTTTCAATGCTTTTTTGCCAACCAACAGAGGCAGAGCCAGGGTTCCATCACGGTTAAGGGACTCATCATTTCATGTAACCTTTTGCGAACAGCATCCTGTACAGCAGTGTCATTTTCAAAATGTTGCCCTTGTAGGCCACACTTCAAAGAGCAAATAAAGATGAAAATCTAAGGGTACCATATCTGGGCTGTGCAGTGGGTGGATAAGGCTGCATGGTCCACCACAACAACAAAAACTGTTCAATGGCCTCTGATGTTCTCCGGTGTGTGTTTGGTCTTCTGTTTGTTGTGCTGGAGGAGGGCCTCTGACATGAATGTCTGGACGAATTTGCTATATGTGCACCCCTTTGTCAATCCACTGCTGGATGAGGACCTCCTCAAGCCGTGCAGGTTTCAGCAGTTATTTGACCATCCTCCACTAATGCTTGTCAATATGAATTGGTGACGGGCATACATGTTAGGAAATAGAAATACAGTACAACTATTTATTTAGTTGCAATGCTCTCTGCTGACAAAGTATCCCTGCAGAAGCCTATAATACCTATTTTATGCCTGGTGGTCACCAATCCAAGCACTATATAGGCTTAACTAAGCTTAGATTTTGGGATCAAGATGAAATCACATGCAGTCCCGATTATTTGGTCAAAGGCTGAATTTGTAGGATTTTTACTTTATATGCATTCAGCCTCTCAAAACCAAATGTGAGTGAAATTTAAGAAGCCAGGCGTACAAAGTTATTTCGAACAATAAAAAGCAAATTGCTTTTGCGGTATATCCTTTGTAATATTACAATGAAATAAAAGGGTTAAAAGGTGATGCTCTGTGCTGATTTAGTTCCGTACGTGTCTTGAGTTGGCAAGGTCGCTGATGTCTGTGGCGGCAAGTCAGCCATGCAGTAATCTTCCACATGGAACTTTCCGTCCTCTTTTTCAACTCCTTTCACTGCCACAATAACACCTATTAAAAAAAATACACTTAATAATTTAAACAATCCCATTCATCATGCACACGAGTTATGAAAATTGAAAGAGAAAGATGGCAATCTGTGGACTGATTTGAATCTCTGCCTAACCACAGCCAACGGTCCTGCTTTTCACCACACACAACTTGTAATGCCCTGTTTTATAATGCGACACACCTGATTAACTATCAATGCAAGAAATACAATTATACAAACCCCTATTCGTTTTTTATGATAAAAACATTGCAGTAAACACTGCGGAATGACTGCACCCTTATGTCAGTGCGTCTTCATGCTCAACCATACAATGACAGCAGCATTTAACTTTGTTGGTAGCTCGGGATCAGGGGTAAAAAATCCACATTCCCATGACAGGTGCCGGTTTACTGACAAGATTACTCTTGATAACTGTACACAAAGTGAGAGTTTTATCAACCAGAGAAATATAACAGACTATTATTTTGACCCATCACAGTCCTTTGTCAATCCACACCTGAATGAAGGCCTCCACACGCCATGTTAGAAATGGAGGTAGCTTGACCATATTTCACCATGTTAGTCAATAAGGATTGGTAAAGGGGTGGCCAGGACCTGTTCAAATATAGCTCTCCACTGACTTTAGCTGTGACTGGGAATCAAACTCAGGTGGTTGCATTAATAGCACAGTGTGCAAAGTACTGCAGGAATCACCGGTGACGAAGAGGTCAGGCTGGAGATTCCCAACAAGACACACTCGCTGGAGCTCATCCTCCAGGATCAGCTCATCCGAGGATCCCACGTAACGCTCGCGAGGAGGCACGGGCAACAGGTTATGCTGCGAACATCGACCACATACGGCATTGGTGCAGTCAGTCTCCCAACAAAAAAATGAATCACCACAACTATCAACAATGCATTCGCAGCCACACTTATTGCACATCATATATCTGTATTCTACATGACCTTCTACAGCCGGTTTGTCATTCTCATGCTGAATGAGAACATCGCAATGCCATACAGGTAGCATTGTTTATTTGACTGTACCTTAACCACGCTGGTTAGTGCAGGTGCAGAGATGTGGGAGAATAGAATTACAGCAAAACAATCGATTTGGCTGCATTTCCAACCATGTAACCCAAGGCCCTATGGTAACCTGGTAGTCATCAATACAAGCACTGCAGAGGCTCAAACCTGCTTAGCTTTTGACATTTTACAAGGTCAGGCACTTTCCGGTTGATTTGCCCAAGGTATAACTGGAGCGGCGATAGCAAAATGACCGCTTGTGTTTATAGAATATTTTGTTTTTGTGAAACGATCCCAAAAGTTGGGACTTTCTGTCCTGATTTTTTAAATCAAAAGTTGTTGACAAAATATTGTGAACCAAATCAATGTCAGTAACACAACTGCAAGCGGTTAGGGATTGAGAGCAAATTTGCAAAACTGCGTTTAGGAAGACTGCATGTGGGGGAGACAGGTTTAATATGTTCAAGGGTTTATCAGTGTAAGATATGAAGAAGGCAAAGCGTTTTGAGGCAAGCCAGCAAGATGGGTAAGAGTCTAACATTTTTTTGGGCTATTAATTCGAGATGTGTTAGTGCTTTAAGCAACCCTGTGAAAACACATGTTCAGATATGCACTCCGTTATGTGTATATTTAACAAAAGTGAATACTGGTGCAATTCACCTGATGGTTGACGGCCATTTAAACAGACAAATCACAACAATAGAAACGCACGTACAGAAATATTCACTAGCTTTAAATATCATTCCTCGAACATGCGTATTGGACCCAGTGTCTCTAAAGACAATAACGTCAACGAAGGTTTTCCAAAACACCTTCCAGTGGCCAGTTAAACAGAGCATTTACCAACCTCTTCACTGATCTCCTTGAGGATAGACGGCCGCAGCTCCATATGCTTGTAAAGGGTACCCACCACATAGCAAGGGACACCAATCACAAGCTCAAAGAGCTTCTTAATGACCACGTCCTTGCCTGCAACACATGCAACAGAAGAGACTGTGAGTTATGTGGGTAGATGCAGGACGTTCATTAGCCCAGCCCTTTAATTGGTGGAACAATAATCAGCATGTATTGATTGATGGCCCTTACCACACAATTTGATGGCGAGTGTCACAATTCAGGGTCAAGACTTTATTTATATGTACCGCCTCGTTTGTATAGTGTGGATTCTACATTCTAGCTTGCTCAGTCCATTTGCCTAAATTCAATATTTGCATAAATCATATGGTATCATGTATCGAGTGTGAATCCTGATTTTATTCCAAAAATCAATTCATAATTACTCAAAATGTAACCTCACTACTGATCTTAGGCAAGGGCTAAATCTTAAATTAGTACCACTCCATGCGACATTTTTTCGTCATGGCACTCACTTATCTACGTGGACAAATTACGTAAGATAATCATTCGAAATGGTTATGACCTAAATAACTTTTATTTACCAATCAGAGAAAATAGTACCAATAATGGTGCGCCACCTAAGGTGATAATGAGAAGTAAAATATCCAGCCTGAGCCCAGAAAATCTACCACATTTCAGGTGAGAGTATGATTATTCCTAGAACAGACCCCCAGCACAAGTCCAGTTGAAATAATTATTTTACAAATAGTGCCTATACAGTGATACCCTTTAGAGAAGAAAAGACTGCTGAGAAAACCACATGCAAGCTGGGACATGACATTGCTCCACTTTTGAGTGCATAACGTCAGGGTTAACACAATCCAAAATGAGGACAGCTGGAGGTAAATCTTTGATGAAGCTCAGCTTAAGCTGCTCATCTGCCCCAGATTTCTATTGTTCAGGGAATTCAAATTCTTCATTTGTTAACAAAGCAGTTGAACTAGGTCAGTGTTATGAACAGCAGTTCGGAATATCAATAACCACACCCCAGTTCAGGCTCGTATAGGAGGCTGTAAAATGCAGTCCAAGAGCTCAGACTAGCATTTTCAGATGTCATACCACGTGAGGTGATATAAGTTTCGTCGTTCCAATTAATGTGGCAAATAATGCGAATTTTGCGATAAGCATTTTAAATTAGTAAGTTATCAAATAATTTATTGCATGCCTTTTAGAATGTCATATCCACGAATGGCTCAGAACTGTCAGTGGTGATTAATGCTGTTCCAATGCATATTTGAAGGGGTAGACAATGGCTTAGTTTTATCTCATTTCACTTAAGTTACATTCCGATTGTGCTATCAACATCTTGTGAAGATAAAACAATATTTTATGTAACTCCTACCACAAGCTACAACATGACATCTTGTCAGGAAACGGCTGGAGTCACTTCACTGGCCTATTACCCACACAAAGTGACGCAATTTTGCATATCCCAACCCCAAATCTTTTCTTTACTCATCAGAAAAAAAACAATCACTTGAAGATTGTTAATGCATTCATTAGTCTCGGCTTGAGACGCGTGCTTTATTGCAAAAAAGATGCTTTAAAATACATAAAATGCCAGTGGACAAAAAAAATCCACATATCTTGCAAGATTCCTGTAAATTACTAAACTGGGATTACGCATGACATCGTCACCCACTCGTGCGAATACAGTACTCAGCAAGACCCTCCTGAAAAATGTCTTGTGACTCGGCGATAATTTTACAGGTAAACAGGCGTGGTAATAACGGTGGCTGCTGAGCTTCTGAGCCAGGCTCTCCTCCTTTCGTCTCGGTACCCTCCCGACGTTGGCCATTATGAGCCCATCTCCCTCGCTCACCCCAATGCCTCTGAGCCCTGGCCTCCAGCAATCTCCGCATGAACACCAGGCGGCTGGCGTAGAGGTGGGCGAACTGGCGGCCGAAGGAGCGATCGACCAGAAGGAAACGGTCGGACTGCGGGATGGCCAGCGGTGTCTCCTGGCCCGACTCCTCTCCCGTCCGCCTTTGCAGCCGCTCCTCGCCGTCATCCCCAGGGCCCACGGGTTCTGGCCGCGAAAGAAGACAGCTGCCCTCGCCCAGCGAGTTCGCCCGCTCCGAGAACATCGCTTGGAGGAGTCGCGCGAGCGACGGTTACCGCGATCGGATCACGTTGCAAGGAACGAGGCGGATGGCATCGGCGACGGATCGTCGCCGATGGTTGGCGGCGGGCACGCGGGGGAAGCCTTCGGTCCAGCAGTGGATAAACACAATGCCGGCTGCCGATTTAAAAAAAATATATACCGCTTAAACCCAAACACGGATCACGGTCACGGCGCTCCCCCCCCCCCCCCCGTTCCAGCGGCGGCCTAGTCCTTCGGCCCAAAAGGCTTCTGCTGAAAGTTTCAAGAAAGCGGGCTGACCCCCCCCCCCTCGCGTTGATCGGTTTGTTTATCTACGCGTAAATGTTATGCTAGAGCAACCGATGGTTAAATTACTTCAAGAAAAGACGCACCCACCTCGCTGCTATTTTACTTTTTAACTTTTTTTTACTTCACTGCCCGCATTGCTAAGTGACAGCGGCGCGGGTGATCTCGCGAGTTTTCCCGCCAAGACCACGACGTGACCTTTTACCTCCTGACGTCACGGTCACGTGATGGGTTTATTTAAACGGAATGTAAATAAATGTATTTAAAGCTGTATATATTTTTTTAAATTAAAATCTGTATTTGAACGACTGAGAATACCACGGCACTTTCGAGCATTTTGGCTGCTGTACATTTCCACTTGATAGGCCACCTCATTGAGCTGTCATTTGTGGACAGGTCGCTTCTGAACAAGCGACCTGTCCACCTGATGATGACCGTTTGTGTTATGGTCGAAACGTCGTGAGAATTTTTATTGTTTTATATTTTTTTTAATTATTTTATTGTTTCCCTCCAACGTGACTTTACCGAAAGAGCTAAGAATAAGAGCTATGCAGCTCAGTAGTCCTTACCTGGTTGAGTTCAGTATCATTTATTTTGGTATAGCCCTGTGAGCCATTCGGCTCTTGAATCGGGTGCAACTATAACAAACAAACAAAACAAAAACACGAACAGGAAAACATCTTAAAGTGACTTTGTGTGACTGTGCAAACAGAAAATCCATGAAAAAACTGCAAAATATTCCTGAAAAAAGCACCGTACACCAACGCTGTGTGCAAAAAATCCTAGTGGGATGCAAGTCAAACAACAAGAACCACAAGACAACTTAGATTAAGGCCATCAGTCTAACACCGTACTACAACAAAACAAACATGTCCAAACCAAAAAACGTTTTCGAAATCACCAAAAAATAAAGCCATAAATGCAACGTAACAGTGATCACAAGGACTGTGACCGAATTTTTACAATAAACTACATAAATAACATGTAACGCCAAATCCTAGAGCCATAGCTGGCTGCATGAGTTACTCCACAACAACAGAAGCATCAGTCGGAGTATCAAATTTTTCAATGCACCTTTAAGATCAGCACGCTAAATCAGATAATACTTTGCAGCGTCATCTGGAGCGAAACATTTTATTTTATTTTAGGCCACTGAATAGCAGTGGCAGCTAGGGGCGTACAACTCCTCTAGAGCAGTTTTGAGAGAAGATCTCATTGGTAGCGATTCAAGTTGCAGTTTATTGGCAATAGCATTCCAGACCCTGGGGGCATCAATAGCAAAGGCCCTTCCTCCAGTTTTTGTACGGCAATAGGGAATGTGAAACTGGTAAATGATCGAAGACCTGAGGTCAAATTTGTTCTTTGAAACAGAGAGGAGATCCAGCAGGTAGTCTGCGGATTTTTTTGTAAGCACATCGTGGTAAAATAAAGCCATTTAGTTTTTTGTTTGTTTAGTATATAAGCGCTCATACATTGGAGTAAACATCTTAAAATAAAAGTTCGACTTTTCCTGGATAACGGGAGTAATTATGATTGGCTTTACGTCAAAATTAATGTCATTAAGATTAACTGCCGTGATCTGCACTGCATGGATGAGAGAACATATGCAGGTTAAAGACGTACATTGTTTTGAAAACTAAGTGGGCTTGGCAAGTAGAGGTCGCAATATGGGATGATGAACAGTCGTCCAGACGAAGTACGGAGAGGTGGCGAGAGCCCATCGCTAAATTCCTGTTCAGAGAATTACAAATATTGTATCGTATTTTAAAGTATGTTGAACTTCTTTTGCACCGTATGTAGTAAACCGTACTAACCGGAGGTGCGGGCAAAGGACAACGATCTCATGCCTGTCAACCCATACGGTTTACCCGTATTCTTGTACAGGGTTACTTGAGTTTTAAGGTCCATACGGCGTACAGCCACTTCAATACGGGCAACATTTGTTTTTATCTATTTGTGTTTCTCCCTTGTGATGGGATTTATAAAGGCACGGGGTGACCAATAAGATTTTAATTGGTCTGTAAAAAGGTAGGCACTGATCAGGGGTTGACAGATATGCAAACTAAACACAAAAAGCAGTTTTGAATTAGTTTTCATTTTTAGATTTAAAAGTGCACAGCTCCAGTGGCTTACTAATAGCGGAGGAAGAGAGTTCCAGACGGCCGCAGAAGCGCATCTAAAAGTTCGCTGCTCCTTGAGATCAGCACGGTATTGTGCTTCCTTTGTGATTTTGTGGCAATGGCATGAAACGAACTTGCTTGCAGTGGCAGGATGGGTGGGAAAGTGTTTTATTTTTTACCTACGTGACTTTACCGAATAAAACCAAAGAGTATGGATCATTGCAGTCACGAAAGCTTCAAATCTAGAAATGGGAAAGTGTTGCCCCCTAGTGTATGCAGCGGACACCATTTGAAGGGATCCAAGAGGTAGCGCTGGTAAATGCTTCCGTGGGCTGCTCTCCAAACATGGAAGAGTTTCACTGGCTTGTGTTGGCATGGTACATGTTGCTATGTTTGATTCACTATATATGCACGATATATTAAACAAGTGCATTAAACGTGTTGTCGACTTTTGAATATATGCAAATAATTAAACATAAAAATAGGTAATATATTGTGCCAATTCCGATGCACAATGTTGATAACTGGAAGACTATTAGCTATCATAAGCACCAGCGCTCAACGATGACCACACCTGACATGGAGGGCATTATAAGGAAGTCAAAACAGCGGGCAGCACTTTCCTACGACGAGCTGTGCTGACTTCTCGTCTGTGGTCAAACGTTACATTTCCTGAGCAGGAATGTCAAGCCCTCTCCCCGGCCTGTTTCCCATTAGGAAGCTCTCAGCCCTACATTCATGAACCAGTCAGACGAAATGTTGCCCAACCGTGAAACGCTATACCATTTGGACTGTTTGGATTGTAATATGATTCACTTTGGAAAATTCTGTTACTGTTTGCCCAATAGCAATGGAGCCAGGGTTACTTTTGATAATGTGGGATTATTACACGCAGCAGGGGCTATATTGAAGGGCCCAGACTGCAGGTTTCCGTGACGGCGCTAGGGATGAACGCTGGTCGCCTGTGCCGATGAGCAGCTACGAAGCACGCATGAAGTGCAAGGAGTGAGGTCCGGACAGCCGTTCCGCTCGCCCAGTCCCATGGCGCATGGATCCTGACATTCTCAATTGGCGAGGGGACGAACACAGCCAAAGCCTCAAAATGTTATTCCTGTCGCCTCCCTTCTACATCGCGAGGTACGTGGTGGCGTTGCGTGTGCTAGCAGGCTCGGTCTGTGACCCAAGTCACCCTGATTGTTAATTGGATGGGAGACTGGCTGGGAATGCCAGGTGTTGTTGGCTCAGGTTGCAAAGGTGGTCATGAGATGGTAGCACAATGCGTTGTTGGATCTTTCTCTGTAGATCTCGGAGGTTGAGCAGGTTTGAGCCTGGTTAATATTTGGTGGGAGGCTGCCTGAGGTAGGCTCAGGCTGTGAGGTGGTGAGGAGATGACAGTACATACATGGATTCTGAAGTCTTTTACGGAGCGTTGAGTTATAGCCTGCGATTTATGGGTTTTCTCTGGGTACATACGTGAGCTGTCACTCATGAAAACTTTTTCAGACTCATTAAGGCTTTAAATAATAATTAGCGGGCATTAGTAGTGTTTTTAGTTTTAACGAAAATTGAACCCTTTTGTGGTGGTTCCAAGGGCGCCAAAACTCCCCCAATCCCATTGAGACCCATACAATTGCAATTTTATATTAAGCAGGGGAATTACAGTAAAGCTTTTTTATATGAATGTAAAGTCACATGTATAAAAAAACATAATTTCGGGATCGCCCCCTCCACACACCCGTTTGCAAGTTTCTAGATCCACCGCTGACGTATGTTGAACTTCTTTCACGCCGTACGTAGCCAAGCGTGGTAATCGGAGGTGCGTAGCAGCCCCTCAAACTAACATTTGCATTATTCCCACACTCTAGCAGTGCACCCTGGGCGGCTGTGGTTGCCCACCCTTAGGGGTGAGATCATTTGTGAGCTGCAGTTGATAACACTTTTGTTTGATGTGTAGTTGACAAGAACCAAAAAATAAATAACTGTTAATGTGCAAGGAGGGCTATGGTTTATTTAACTCGGGTGCCAGAGTATGTTCACCATGTACATATTTTTCACGCGTTACAATAATTTAATATGTTTTAACGTATGCTGTACAGGTGTGTGCATACGCATACTTATTATATACAGATGTGCATGTACATGCGGAAAAGGTTTAACCGTAAAGCTATGTATAGACCGATATTAATTCATATTTCAATATTGAATGCATTAACACTTGGTATACAGTCCAGGACTACAGTATTTCAAGGTCATAAGTACAAATCTAGCCCAGCATAATCATCACCACCATCATGCTTCCAAGGTCGGTTAAACGAGTACCACCTGGTAAGCTGCGCCTCTTGGTGCGAAAGTCCATAGTAGCCGAGCGTGGAATTTCCACCACTGGCCCTGTGTCAGCAAAAAATGAGAAATGAGCAGCACCCAGTGCTTTGTCAAGAATAATTTGGGGAAACCTCGGCTTGCTCCACACACCAATTACCGGACTGAACTCAAAGGGGTGTGGCGCGTGCTCATGACCGCACGCTTGCCCTGCAGGCATATGGTGTCTCAGTTCCAAGCCCGGCTGTGCGAGGCGAAGAAAGCCAGTAGCCCGCCGGCCTGCCCCGAGCACCAAGAGGTCAACTTCGAACGAGCCCTCGTGCGGGATTTCATCACCCAGCTCAGGTTGGTTCCCAGTCCCTTCCCCCTCAGATGCAGAGTAAGAGCAAGTGGTAAGGTTGGCACGGAGTAGACTTTGTGCAAGTGGACATCTGTGAAAAAGAGCTTGATAGCTCATCGGATTCCTCCAGTGTAAATATTCTGATCCTGATGAAAGAATATATATACACACACACTTGGTATGTATATTACATTCAAATCCACTGCTGGACGAAGGCTTCCCCACGCAGTGTCGGGCACGATTGTTGTTGTTTGACTATACTTCATCACGCAGGTCAGTGCGAGTTGGTGAAGAGGGGTATCCAGGACCAGTTCAGATATCACTTACAACTCATGAGACATGGCCAGGAATTAACCTCAGGTCACCATGTGTGCAGTGCAGTGCCTGTACCGCTGCGATACTCTAACCGCCACCGTTCACCACCAAGTGGTGTTTCAGACGAGGTGCACGTGTGCAAATATCTCGCCATATGTTTGTCAAATGCTGAGCAGAAATGTGGCAGTGGAGGAAATTGAGCCATCTCCCCACATGCTATTAGTGAACCCAGGGATGCTCCCAATGTTTGTCAACGGATGCAACTGGGACCACAACACGCAACGTAACCGTGTACTCATATCAAACACGTCCGTGCCAGTCTAACACGTAGGCTTTCGCGACCGATATTATCCCTGCCGACAGGGAGGTGGCCGGGCTGGCACATGAGGACATCCTGTGCGGGGTGCGAGTTCCAGACGAGCGGCACAGCTCCCGGCGTGATGTCAGCGTGATCGTCTTCACGGGTAAGTCGCGTCGGAAACACTCTGAGCAGGCTGCGATCAACAGCTGCAGCAGACTTCAGAATTCCCCATCGAGCCTAGACTTAAGAAGGAGCATTCATTAATTTTGTATTCAGCACTTGCCAATTCAGGAACGCTCCATTACCAGATTGACAGGGAAAACTTTTGCACGATAATTCACCACACTGGTCAATGCAAGTTGATGAAGTGTGTTAGCTGGGGCTGGAAATGTAAGTCAGTTCGCTGGGTGCTTAACGCCGCGTGTTAACCCCCACGCCACCATTGACCCCACCTGTGGTTTGCAAGTCCATATTTGGACGGAATTGCGTGTGTTTGATCCGTATTCTGAGATAGACATGAAAGATCTCACGGCTCGACGGTGCAACACGATGTTTACACTCTCATGCACGTGACCCAGGATCTGGACTCTACTGCATTGACCTGAAGACGTGGTCGGGTCTGGTGACCCCGCGCCAGGGTCACTGGGAGATCCATGATCCAAGGGGTGGCAGTTGGCTGGGCGGCGGCTACACGCCATGTGTCGATCCTGTGAAACTCATCAAGGTATGCACAACCAGGGAAATAGGATATCACGTGCACAAAATAGATTGCACAACCAATGAGCACAAGCTATTTGCTTAACAATTATGATTTAAAATACAGTATTTGTTTTTTTCTGTAAGTTAAGGTGATCAGGTGGCTATTCAATGTGAGGGCATTGAGCCAGCACTGTGGAGATTCTGGGTTTTGATATTCATCAAGATTCCATGGTTAAACGGAATTATATAAATTGTTGATTGCCTGTACACAGTCAACAATGACAATACATCTTTCAACTTAATTTGGCTTCTATCAGATCCGAGAATTAACACATTTTTATTAATAATCCTAAAACACTCCTTGCAGGGAATGTAAAAGGTGTCCCTAGTGTGGATATTGAAGTGGCTTCATTTTCTAACTGCGAGATAAAAAAATCTGGCTGTCGCCTGATGAAGCTAGTGGTAATTATTGGTGAAACGTCGTACTCAGATTGTAAATATTGTGGCTTGCTCTCCAACACACTGGTGTGTTGTGCTAGTAACGCATTGGCATGTTCTGTTTACGTGACAAACCTTACTAACTGGCTGTGTCGGGTGGTGGCAGGTCTAACGACACATTTATACATTTACGCGATCTAACCCAAAAAAATCTGTTTATGAAAGGAAATGTCTTAATTTCATGACATGACACATGGCAACATTGGAATATGACTGGGTGGAGGGGAAACCCCGAATATATTTCTTTAATATAACCACGAGCATCAATACAATTACGTGACTAACATAACTACTTTTTTTGCATCAGTGATGCGTCATAACTGAGCCGTTGCTTTTATCTGCATTCTGATCATTAATCTTCTCGAAGCTTCTCGAAGCTTAATGGTCAGAATGCTGTAAACGATCTACATTTTCCACATTCCGCTATGGCTGTCCTTTTGCCCCACGCTGTGGATTTATGGCGCTGGATTCCAACTTGCGGTCACCACTGTTAAACCTACATTGTAGAAGCCCATGTGCTTCTCTGACGCACCACCACAACTGTGTCATTTTAAAAGTGGCCGCATCTTAAGGCTAATTTACGCCACTGGAGTACACCGCCATCTATCACTTATCAAACTGCTCCTACCTTGCTCAGGACTAGGGGTGCAAAAATTCACCCCAGTCAGAAAATTGCTGAGATTCACTACATACAAAACTAAAGTAATTGATTCTTGAACATGCATTTCGATGCACGTATTTTCAGCTTGAGAATTGACAATCGATTAATTTGTGCATCGTCACACCCTTGCTTGATACGTGGTAAAATCATGGTTAATTTAAATTGAATTTTGAAGGGATGCTATAGAATTTACAACCTCTTATCCACCTGCAACTTTAAAGACTTCTGTATTTATTTTTGCACAGCGAGCGATGTGTGCAATTAATCCAAGATCGGTAGACATGCCGGGCTGGGTTATAGGGCAGAGGGTTGCTTTGTTTAGAGATTGGTAGACATGCCGGGCTGGGTTATGGGGCAGAGGGTTGCTTTGTTTAGAGATTGGTAGACATGCCTGGCTGGGTTATGGGGCAGAGGGTTGCTTTGTTTAGAGATTGGTAGGCATGCCCGGCTGGGTTATGGGGCAGAGGGTTACTTTGTTTAGAGATTGGTAGACATGCCAGGCTGGGTTATAGTGCAGAGGGTTAGAGATTGGTAGACATGCCAGGCTGGGTTATGGGGGAGAGGGTTGCTTTGTTTAGAGATTGGTAGACATGCCAGGCTGGGTTATAGTGCAGAGGGTTGCTTTGTTTAGAGATTGGTAGACATGCCAGGCTGGGTTATGGGGCAGAGGGTTGCTTTGTTTAGAGATTGGTAGACATGCCAGGCTGGGTTATAGTGCAGAGGGTTGCTTTGTTTAGAGATTGGTAGACATGCCAGGCTGGGTTATAGGGCAGAGGGTTGCTTTGTTTAGAGATTGGTAGACATGCCAGGCTGGGTTATAGGGCAGAGGGTTGCTTTGTTTAGAGATTGGTAGACATGCCAGGCTGGGTTATAGTGCAGAAGGTTGCTTTGTTTAGAGATTGGTAGACATGCCAGGCTGGGTTATAGTGCAGAGGGTTGCTTTGTTTAGAGATTGGTAGACATGCCACGCTGGGTTATGGGGCAGAGGGTTGCTTTGTTTAGAGATTGGTAGGCATGCCAGGCTGGGTTATAGTGCAGAGGGTTGCTTTGTTTAGAGATTGGTAGACATGCCACACTGGGTTATGGTGCAGAGGGTTGCTTTGTTTAGAGATTGGTAGGCATGCCAGGCTGGGTTATAGTGCAGAGGGTTGCTTTGTTTAGAGATTGGTAGACATGCCAGGCTGGGTTATGGGGCAGAGGGTTGCTTTATTTAGAGATTGGTAGACATGCCAGACTGGGTTATGGGCCAGAGGGTTCCTTTCTTAGAGATTGGTAGACATGCCAGGCTGGGTTGTGGTGCAGAGGGTTGCTTTGTTTAGAGATTGGTAGACATGCCAGGCTGGGTTATGGTGCAGAGGGTTGCTTTGTTTAGAGATTGGTAGGCATGCCAGGCTGGGTTATGGGGCAGAGGGTTGCTTTGTTTAGAGATTGGTAGGCATGCCAGGCTGGGTTATAGTGCAGAGGGTTGCTTTGTTTAGAGATTGGTAGACATGCCGGGCTGGGTTATAGGGCAGAGGGTTGCTTTGTTTCGAGATTGGTAGACATGCCAGGCTGGGTTATGGGGCAGAGGGCTGCTTTGTTTCGAGATTGGTAGACATGCCAGACTGGGTTATGGGGCAGAGGGTTGCTTTCTTAGAGATTGGTAGACATGCCAGGCTGGGTTGTGGTGCAGAGGGTTGCTTTGTTTAGAGATTGGTAGACATGCCAGGCTGGGTTGTGGTGCAGAGGGTTGCTTTGTTTAGAGTTTGGTAGACATGCCTGGCTGGGTTATGGGGCAGAGCGTTGCTTTGTTTAGAGATTGGTAGACATGCCGGGCTGGGTTATAGGGCAGAGGGTTGCTTTGTTTAGAGATTGGTAGACATGCCACGCTGGGTTGTAGTGCAGAGGGTTGCTTTGTTCAGAGATTGGTAGACATGCCACGCTGGGTTATGGGGGAGAGGGTTGCTTTGTTTAGAGATTGGTAGACATGCCGGGCTGGGTTATGCGGGAGAGGGTTGCTTTGTTTAGAGATTGGTAGACATGCCAGGCTGGGTTATGGGGCAGAAGGTTGCTTTTTTAAATTGTGCAACTGCCACCTTGTGCACCGCTATATGCAAGTGCCTTCCACACCTCCGAGTTCGCGATCGAACGACTTGTCCGTTTTGCACATCAGGGTCGCTGCCTCCGGGAAAGCAAAAATTGTGCGCGTTACAAATTAGCATTAGTATTATTAATATGTATGCGTTACAAAGTTTCGTTACGATTATTTATGATGGGATAATTCCCTGCACTTGTGGTGTAATACTAGAAAATTGTTGAAGTGTTTACCGAAACAGTTGCACTTGCATGCACCGATTTTTTTCCCCCATTTGCACACGTGATTACGGTCACATAAACCACATGGTTCTCTGCAGAGCGAGTGGATTCGGAATGTTGGCAAAACATGGTTATTGGATAATTCAGACCAGCCGCTTGGTAGACATCCCCAAAAACAAACCTCCATGCCACCCCGCGAAGCCTTGCCATCAACGCTGGGTGCGGTGGCACGCCTCTAATCTAGCGCTTTAAAGGCAAGTCTAGGTGGATCGCGCAAATTTAAGAGACTCCCGAATCTGCCGGGCTGCGAGGTGGTCAGGAGATGGGGCTACAGCAAGTGCATTCATAAAAGCCGTCTGCGAAACTTCGAGTGTGGGTTTTAGCCGGGGTGCTCTGGTTTCCCTCCACAGGCAAAATATTTCTTAACGGAAATTCGTTAAACATCCCAAAGTAGGACTCTCCAGAATAAGTATCGAGACTCAGAAATTACATCAAAGTACCATTTTTAGGGGATTATACTTTGTCGAGAATTTTGCATTAATAAGTTAATTACTTGTCTGTATTGTAATTGTTTATTACTGCTATGCACATAACAATGCGTATATATTAAAACTATTATTCTCATTATACATACAACAATATAAGCATATAATCAGTTGTTAATAATAATATTGCTTTGCTATCGCGCCCTCCTCCACCCCGCGACATCTCAGAGCACTTTAAACATTTAAAAAGGGCCATTCCCCAATGGCAGCTGTCCCTTAGGGCATTAGGTTGCTAATCACCTGTCCTGCAAGCTTGGCAGTAGGGAACATTTAAAGATGTTCCATTCCAATCACGGTAATGTATAGAATCTCAGCAAGGGCGGTTAGTTCAATATGCTCACTGTTTCTGCACAGCGTCTTGAGATGCGATCACATGGAGACGCAGTGTCAATTCGAAACGCATTGCATTGTCCACCTTTGAATGCCTGATGACCACACTTTCCCACCCGTCCGTATGGCCGACCCGGGACCGCTCTGCAGCTGAAGAGCGAGCAACTGCGCAAGCACCTAAGCGGTCTCGGGGTGGAGCTCCACAAGGAAGCCGTGCACGCCCGCCTGCTGCTGCTCAACCCGGCATGCGAACTGCAGGTCCCCAGCACGGAGCTGATCCCCAGCACGGAGCGCGAGCCGGTGGTGGTCCAGGCCGTGCAGGTGGCCGCTTTCGTCCGCTCGCTGCAACGTGGGTGGATGGCGCGGGTTACCGACTCGCTCACGCCGCACTGGCTCAACGGTAAAGGAGCACAGCGGCCATCAAGACACCGCTCGCGCACAAACACACAAGGGTGCTTCAACCGCGGATAGGGACACTCGCGCCTTGTGCATTACAGGTAGTCCTCGTTTAACACGGGAGACACGTTCCTGAAAAGTGCCATGTTAAGCAAAATCTATTTCCCCATAATGCAACGGTAAAGTTTGGCGAGATACGATGTACGCAGAGTGAGATGGTGGGACAAATAACTGAAGGTACACTGCCGCGTTACTTTACCATTCCGCGAACCGGATTGCTCCGTGAAGCCGCGCAGCTCAAAAAAAGTAGTTTGTCGTTGACCGCTCAGAAACCCCGTTATAACGGTGCGCGTTCCGCGTTACAACGGGCGCGTCCCACGTTGTGAAAAGTGTTCCCCAACGGATGAACCGCGTTACAGTGAAAACGCGCAGTGTGAACACACGTGAAGCGAGGACTTACCATACTGATTTATCTTTGCCGAGAGGCAAACAGCCTCGGGCCTCTTGCCTTACTGAGCACGTCCTTGTCAGTCTTCTTCTTCCGTACAGCAATGTCGCACAGACAAGCAACTGATTTTTGAAACAGCAACGAACGTTATTAATTGGTGCCCACGTTCTTTAGCCATTCAACGGCATTGGCTGCAAGTTGATGAACGTCTTCGTTGCTGCCGTTCAATGGTTCACCTGTGAGAGCATTTTGACAACTTACCCTCTTAGTGAGCTAGGTCACTAAGTACATAGGGAGCACCACCAGACTTGCCGCTCCTATGCTGTTGATGGGAAGCATTTGACTAAAGGCCCCATTGCTTGTTCAACCCCCCAGTCGCTTGTCAGTTACTATAAATACCCAAATAAAGATGGTCTCCCCTCACCCTCCATCCACAGGCCTTCCGTGCTCCACCAATACAATATAGCAGTGTTCTTCACTTATTTTCAGAGGCGGGCCACTTTCGCCGACAAGACATCATTGCGAGGGCCGCCACACATTTGTGCATTGTCGGGGGCTGCAATAAAGGCCACCAGGGGCCGCCAGTGGCCCGCGGGTCTTGCAATGAAGAACACTGCAATGTAGGATGTATTTTACCCACTGGTACGCAGGACGGCTGTCGGCGGATGCTGTGCGGCGAGCGCGGGCCGGGCTGCGCGCCCTGGGCACCTGGGACGTGCTGGAGCTGCAGGGTGGACGCCGCCTTCTGGGCGACTTCCACAGCTGCTCCCACCTCGGCATGGATCGCGCTCACATCGAGACGCTGGAGTTCAAGCACCAGCACAGCGCCGTCCTGGGCTATCTGTGGGCGCTGCTCGGGTACATGCCCACGGTGGGTCTGCCAGATTAACTGCCAGATAATTCGCAAGGTGTGTGAAGATGTAGCCCTCCCAGCGATTTCATGATTTGGCTTTAAAAGTTGTATAATCTCCTGTAGATGCCACTGGTTAATCATGTTCTGCAGATGTAGATCCCGCCACCGCCATCTATTGCACGGCAGTTGAACTTCCGACTCTCGGTCCGAACAGGCAACTGGACATACAGATAGGTTTGTTCGTATCTCTGAAAGTTCTTAAGTCAAATGTTTGTAAGTCGGAGTCCCTGTACCCCATGTTAGAGAACAAAACTATGGCATGACCTGTACTATGCAATAGGGGGGCAGCACTTTCACTCCGGTGACAATATTTATCGCACAACAGCAAACGAAATCTTTATCAGAATAGAAAATGTAGCTAAATTTGACGTGCTTTTTTGTGGTCACTGATGATCATAAAGCATTGATTTTAACCGATGTATATTTACATTTCTTCTGCATACTGAATGGGATGGGCAGGCATATCGACGAACTGTAAAGCACCGTCTTTGTGTCCCGTGCGTAACCAGGTGTCCGTGCAGATGTATGAACGAGGCACAGACGGCTGGGCGTGGCGCCCCTCGGCTGGCATCACTGTGCTGCCTGCCAGCGCTGTTCTGATCTTCCGCGGCTGCGGGGAAGCTGAAGACTCACGTGTGCCCATCACCCATGTGAGCCGCGTGCTACTCAGCCAATAGCAGGGCTTGACCCGTCCTCTCGTCTGCCACCCCCCCATCAGTGTTCTTCACTAATTCTCAAAGGGGCCACTTTTACCGATAAGACATCCGTGAGGGCCGCCACACATTTGAAACCATTGAGTTTGACAGCATGTGGTGTTTTCATATTCGTGGGGGCTGCACTAAAGGCCACCAGGGGCCACCAATGGCCTGTGGGCCTTGCAATGAAGAACACTGCTCTATAAGGAGGACCGCTACAATTCACATCTTAATCTCACACTATCGTGAATTAAGAGGAAGCTGTTATGATTCGTGCAATTGTCACCGTATGCACGTGCATTCTTTCATTAACTATATTTTTCATGGCCTCGGAAAAGAAAAAAAATGGGATAGCTCACTGCTCTACTGAAGTGCCATCGTTATTATGGTCCGTTTGCTACGGTACTCCACCATAAAAATCTTATTGACCAATACAGAACATTTCATTCATGGGTTGAAGAATGTGCAAAGAAAAAAACACATCTTCACGTGACGTATCTTGAGAAATTGCAGCAGTAGTTCAAAAGGTCCATACATTTCAGTTTAGTCCTCATATCTGCTTATATTCACAAGCTTATCGCAGCTCATTGAATCAAATCGGTAAAATTCAGAAAATCTGAATGTCACACCAACACCCAGTGCCATGTACATAGCTTCACTGTTCCATACACAATGGCAGATAATTTAGTTTTTTTTAAATATCAGCTATATTCACTTAAAATGTTAATGCTCTCTAAATTATAAGACCAGTCTATAGGTGAAGCACCCTCTCCATTCGAGTTTGCTCCATCATATTTCACGAATGTGGATTTAGAATAAACACACGTAAGAATTAGCTGTTTATACTTGTTTTTCTTTATTAAATGTAAACGGGTACATTTTAAACATGTTTACGCAAAAGTGTGTGAAAATTGTGTTGCATTGGATAGAGGGAAATTGTAAAGAACGTAACTTTGAAAGTGACAGCTTTGTGGTCAAAGGACGCAAGAAAATGTTCCCTATGGAGTACAATTCACTGGGCCCCTGCATTTTGCTGTGTAACCAGTTTCAAAAAGCCACAATTGACCGATTCTTAAAATAAAACCTTACGTATTGACAAAAAAACACCATTGCACATCATACGCATTATGTGCACATCTAAGAAACTTTATCGGAACGCTGCCTTCATTTTATCAGCTCCTTTTGTTAAAAAAAGGTCTGCATTGGTTATAAATAAAATCTGTGCTCAGATGTTATCCAGTACACTTTACTGGATAACAGCGATGGTGCAGCTGAGCAACAGATGTTCTGTGATAGCTGTTTTTATGAGCAGACGTCCCTTGCTTCAAACACTTATATTCAAAGACGCACCATGCATTGATAGGGACTACTACCAATGCACGGTTGATTACGTACGGTGCGAAAGAAGCTCGACATATGGACTGCAAGTACTTGAAAGGAGATATAAAGAAAATGTGCGGCAGAATCTTACCAAATGGTCAAAGCACAGTGATGCAGGGACTGTGAATTGCCTCTTGGAAAAACATTTACAAAAGACCAAATGAACAATCTGCAACATCCCATTTGTCAAGCCTAACAGTGCTTCATACTAGAAGAAAATAATTTGAAAAAGCCACAAAGAAGAACATAAAGCAGGAGAGATAGTGGAGATGTAGAGTCGTGCTCTTCTGGTGTTACGTTGGATTATTCCCTCTAAGACGACCTGGAAAGAAGACAAAGCACCAAATAATTATTTACAATGCGCATTTTTACATTACCTAATTATTATTATTTTCAAAAGCAAGTAAAGAAAACCCCAAATGAATAACATTGCTTACAGTATGTTAGTGAGGTCCTCCCTCCAGTGCTGTTCCGCAGCCTGGGACTCATTGGAAGGTGCTAATAAAATAAATGGATGAACTGCAGAGACTAGCGGCAAGTGCAAATTTATCAAGGAAATCTAGTGTTGGCATAATGCTGAATAAACGTGAGAAGAACTGTCTTGCAAGCTCAAGACAGCCAGACTCTATACAATCTGCACCAGAAAAAAAGGCTTGGTCTGAATGTAATAGGTAAGCCATCTTATTACATTGGTAGAATGGACAATATGCAGAAAGAAGGCTGCAGACAGACGAACGCCGACGTCCAGAACAAAACACCTCTTTCGAGACCCAAACATTGCACCTCCTGGCTTTGACATTCCTTGAAGACACTGGTGTAACTATCAACCGTATCTGAACAATCAACAGGCCGCTGCGCACACCTCCTTCAAGAATGGAAAGTTAAAGACAAGCCACAATGCGACTGGCCATGAAACCCAAACTATGGACCAGAAAGTAAACCACTTTAGTCCGCGTATCTTGAATGGAATAGTAAAATTGCACCAACTGTCTCCTGAAGCACTCTAATGGCAACAATATCTCGACATTGGCATTTAGCTCCTGAAAATATTTCCAATTGCAATAATATAATGGACCATGACAAAAAAATATTTAATAACATGTCGATTGTGACACAGGAAGATACTGCTTTATGTGTTGTATAGCTAATAACTGGTTCAGTGATTTAAAAGCTTGAACTGTGATTTTTCTGCTTTTTTATATGCTAAACATTGTATTATGTAAACTGCTGTTTGCCACCAGACAATGGTTCATTGTAGACTGAATAAATTATCTCAATACATTTTTATTACTTTAAATTTCAAAGCATATTTGAGCTTTGTAGAAAGAAAAAGAAAACATTTGGTAAGCAATGTGCGAAAGATGTCCATTTTACGCTATGGTGTGAATTATGCAACCGTAAAATATACTCGCACAAAAATGCTAATCACACACAGATGACTGCAAGTGAGCACAATCAAGAGTGTGCTCACGTACGTGTAAGCAGAGACAATGCTGGATGAGCATGTGGCTTGAAGCGGTGGTGGGACTAACACCATGCCATGCCACCTCTGAAATTCCCAGCTTTGATTTTAACCACTCCGCATCGGGTATCGGTGTAACGATGATTCAGTCTTAGTGAACACCCGCGCTCGGCGGAGTTGACCAATGCCAATGACTTTTATGAAAATTAAACCCAGATGATTGCAACGTTGTGCTCTTTTTTCCACAATGTTAGTCCAATGTGCCAACATGCAAAGTGATCAAGAATCCACTCAGAACTCTTGAAAAAGCAATACAAGCCCATATACCTGAAAATAGTCATCAAAAGCATGTTTTCACACAACTTCTCTTGAAGTGACCTTTTTATATGCACACTAGAGGTTTAAAAATATGTTTAACTCCTCATATGGTGGTGTTTTTGCTCTCATTTCTTAACTTCACTGCTTTACTTTCTTTTATTTAGCTTTTTTAATTTAGGTGATGTAGGTCACTCTTACAAATAGTTTTCACCTGGTTAGAAAAAAAAAAACTTTAAAGTTTAACTTTCCCACACACCCTGCTATTGGAAAAAAATGTTGTTGCATGACACTTAGAAAAATATTTTTGTATTTCTCACATATTCTATTTAAAAAAAAATACTGAAATTGTTGGTGACAGGCTATGTGATGACCATTAGAGGGCAGTACAACAAAATAAATCGTTGTACAATTTATTTCCATGGCTCCGCTCCCCACCTTCACCAAGCTGTGGTAAAATAACTCCCACGATATACAAGGTCCATATGGAATATGTATGTATGTTGAATTACTTTCGCACCATACGTAGAAATCCGTGCTAATCGAAGGTGTGGAGAAAGGATAACAAACTAAACACAAAAAGTAGTTCTATTAAAGAACTTTTCAAACTCTATGAGCGGTGCTGTGCACTCAACCAGCGCACAGAGGCAGCGGGCACTCACTTGGGCTTGGTCTCGGCGTCGGTGACGTTGCGAATGTAGATCTCATCGGCGGGGTGTGCGATATCCTCCTGCTCGTACATGTAGGAGGAGGCGATGGCAATCATGGAGCCGTCCATGCTGAAGGCGAGTGACGCAATGCTTGTCGGGTAGCGGTGGAACTGGCACAACCTCTTCTTGTTGAACGGGTCCCAGATGTTCACGAAGCCGTCCGAGCCACCTGGGAAGCCACAAAAGCAATCAGCCAGTGGTACATTAAAGAGGTTACCCAACTCTGTGAATTGAAGAAAGCATCATGTTGCATTTTGTTCTAGCAAATGCAGCCGCGAATGAAATATTTAGTCCAGTGTTCTTCATTTCAAGGCCCACGGGTCAGTGGCGGCCCCTGGTGGCCCTTAGTGTAGTCTCTGACGTACGGCCCCCGATAATACATAAATTTGAAAACATCCCCCATCATGCTGTCAAACCCAATGGTTTCAAATGTGTAGCGCCCCCCCCCCACCCCCCTCTGATCATTTGTGAAGAACACCGATTTAATGACACACACACTTTGCAGGGCTAGTAGTGTGTGCCTCTGCATGTTGGAAGTGCTACTGACCGGTGGCGAAGGTGTTGTGCACATTATGAAAGGCAATGGCGTTGACAGGGTAGATGAGCTCAACGCCATTGTCCTTGAGGCGGTGGCACTTGAAGGCGTACTTCTTCTTCTGTACCTCAGGGTTCGGGTCCAGGTACTCGACAGCCACTCGGCCCTCGATGGAGCTCAGCACGTAAGCCTGCAACAAAAAAACAACGCTGTCACTGATCTATACGCAACTGTAGTTTTCTCCAATCTCAACAGCAGTGTGTGGCATGTGAATCGAATGCTGTCAAGTGGCCAGAATTTTGTGGACAAGAGCACCCCCATCGCGGAGCATGTTCAGAAATTACCAATACACTGTACAGGTCCCACTACAGCTTCAGGATATCTATATGTATTCCGTCATTCTCACAAATTTTGAGCAACACGGTTGGTGAGAGGTGGAAAAGAGCATCACGAACGGAAAATTCAATGCATTTATTCAGTTCCCGAAGCTCTCAGCAACACGAGCTGAAATGTCAGACGTCGTGTCGAACGACACACAGTACAACCCGACAAACACATCAGAGAGTTGTACTGGGACCGTGGGACACAGTCCGTGCACCCACCTGCTTGTTGGGGAAGGCGCGGATGCAGCGCGTCTGGTACTTGAGGCTGGACTCGCGACGCTGCTGCACGTAGCCCATATTGCGCAGGTCCCACACGAGGACGCGCCGCCCGGCCGTGCCCACGATCAGGCGGTCGCCTGACACTGCCATCGTGTACACCTACCCGCACGCAGCGATCACGGCGGAGTTCAGAGGCAACAGCAAGTTAATGCTGCCCAGCAGAATTGTGTACAATTTTGTTTACTCCGTGAGCCTCAATATAACATTTGGCTTTGTACAAAATTTGCATGAATCTTATTCTTACACAGAATGAATTCCTCCACCCATGTTGATGGCTCAGTCTACAACGCTGTGTCATCTCATACTGTGCTCAAAACACTTATCTTTCTGTTTCTTTCCTCACATTTCTCGACTTTTGAATTCACTCGCATCGTTCATTTTTAAAAGTTCTTAAAACCTTTATCAATTCAGGAAACATTAACTATTACACCCTAAAAACAATTCCTACTCACTTGCCATTTTAGGCCTGTGCTCAGCAACCGTGATAAAAAATACCACACATTGAATGTATATTTCATCGTAAAAATCGAAGTGTAACTCTATATTTGGTCCTAGAAGGATGAGATGTAATTGTAACAGGACAACATTTTGAGTGATGCCCTTCTTCGCAGGGAGGTGGATGTGCATTGTTACCCGCTCGGGCTGGGGGAACGAGCCAGCGTTGCACGGTGTGCGGGGATCCCAAAGTTTCACAGTCTGATCCCAGCTGCCCGTCACCATTACGTTCACCTCCGGGCAGAACTCGACGCACCGCACTGCCGCCTCGTGCGTGCCAACCATGATTTCTATTAGGGCAAAAGCAGCAAAATGGGACTCTCAAACAAGAGCTGTGGGTACCCATGCATGCTATACACCATACATAGCGCAGACTAGAGCTCGTTGCTATAGCATGCGACGTACCTTGTTCAGAGTTGAGATCGTACAATTTAACAGTGTTGTCCAAGCCTCCACTCCACGCATGTGTCATGTCCTGCCAAAAATCAGAATCCATCTTAGGTCCATACATAGCGGTGACATGGCCTAGCGGTAGCACATTCGCAGATTGTTGCAGAGTTTCATGGTTCAAATCCAGCAGCAGCTCCAGTTATTACTGCGGGTTTAATAACCGTAATACTACGCGCCATCTGCTCCAAATGTAAATGTTGAAAGATCCCCTGATGTCAAATTGCCCACAAATTGCTAAATTCGGATTTTATATATAGCAATCATCACCCCCGACTGGCACACTAATGTCCCAGGTGATTCTTTAAAGTGAGACTATCCGGGTCTCTTGAGTTCTCAACCAATCTTATCATCACTTCTTTGACTCGTAGATTTTCCGCCTGTCTGTCAACATTTTCACATCAATCGGCTTGCCATTATCCATCTACCTCCCCATCGAATTACTGTTGGCAGTATTGAAGATATAGTCACAATAGCTCGACACTTTCGACAGTGGTTTGGTCTACAATTTACAATAAAATGTGGATGGTTTGGTATCCAATTTACTTCAATTTCGGAGGCAACAGAAGAATAATCAACCTCACAATTTGGAGGTGAGTAAATTTCAGCAAGAGGCCTGAGTGCTGGAGTGAAGGGTGTCAGCAGGACAGTATTGAGTAATGTGTGTGGGGGGGAGATATTCGATGCAGCAAAGACCATTTCGGATTTGAATATGTAGCCCATTTTAATTTGTATTCTAAAGCAAATGCAGAGATCTGAGAATTGGTGGGACGCGATACAATGTGGGTCAAGGCGGTGTAAGTTTGGCGGCGCCATTGTGACTTCACATTCATAAACAAAAGCTCGCATGAAGACATCTTAGGAAAAAGTGTGATCCCACAGACCCAATTATAATGTATCCACTTGCAGTGTAACACACAAGACTCTGTACCTAAACGGCAGTGCGCACTCAAACGCAGCGAAACGCACAAAGGCACCGTAACGATTGGCAACATTTGCGGGTACCTGGAAGGCACAGTCGAGCACGGGCCCCGCGTGCGTGTACTTGACGCGCTGCGTATTGCCCGTGACGTCGTGCAGCCGCACCGTGCAGTCCCACGACGACACGAGCAGGAACTGCGACGAGTTGGGTCCAAACTTGACGGCCGTGATGCCATCCTCGGGGCTTTGACTCAGCTTGAATTCACTCGAGTTGGTCATCGTTCCACAACCGCGTGCTTGCTGCTGCACGCGGGTCACCGCACGGGTTAACTTGGACCAAGGTTGAAATGTGTTAAGTGTGGCGAACGAAAAGCTCATAAGTTGCGAAGCATCGGACCGTCTCCCTCCATGTCTGTCTCCTTTACTTTTTTTTCCCTTTTGATTGCCCCTCTCCGTCTCAGAAAACCCTCGTTCCTTCAGAATCAAAATGTTTATTTATACTGGAGAAATTCGATGTGCTATAAAGCTCTTTTTCATACATGTCCGATAGGAGCCGGTAAGAACGTTACAATACAAAAACATGATAGTAGTGCACAGTAAAGGTAAACAAATCACCCAAACAAATGAAACGAAACTATTCCCCCAACCCACCAGGCAAAGCCCTCTGAGGTACTAACTTATTTTTCAGAAACAGCTCGTCACCTATGCGACTAGGAACCGTACACAACATTATTAGCACCCTCCTCTCCCCCAACACAATTGCTCAAAGCTGTACATAAACACCAATGAGCACTTTGATAAGTTTGAATTTTGAAAAAAATATTTAACACGTGCGGGCCTCCTCGCCTCCCGTCCTGAAGCCTGCGGCTCGCCTGAATCGACCCCGCTCGCGGCCACACACGCCGCCGCCGCGCTGCAAGGGACTTGCCTTGTTATCGGACAGGGCGCCCAAGTCCCACAGCACTCACTCGGACAGCCAGTCGTCGGTGATCAGTCGCCTTGCTAATTAATGCAAAGGACACAAATTTCAATTTTTTTTTCGTCACATTGAATGAGGCCTGCAAAGCGGCTGCCGGCTGCTGGGGCCGCGCGATCGCGAAGCGCTTCCGGGTCAAGGGACACGAGATTCAAACGAACCAATCGGCGCTCGGCTCGGACAAGAGCCGCTGTTTCTAGTCGCGATCACACCCTCTTGTCTGATGTATGAGAGGAGGGGGGGGGGTCATGGACCGTAGCTTTTGCGGCAGTGTGGGGGCACTTCAGTAGCAGTGGGCCGGGAGCTCCGTGCCCCGGGCTTCAAGTTCATTCCCTAGGGCCGAGCGAGGAGTCGGAGGGGCGCCCACCATGGGCTCGCATTTGCACGTGGAAACGTGGGCCACGAAAACATTTATAAATAATGTATTCAAAAAGCTAAACTTTTTTTCTCTCTCAAGGTACAGCAAGAGAGAAGCGAATTGAAATCGGGGCAAAAATGAATGAAGCAGGAGGATTTCTCCACAAAATCTGGCTGTCCGCCTGATGAAGCTGGTTGTAATTACCGGCGAAAAGTCGTACTCAAGATTGTTAATGTTGTGGGTTTGCTCTGCAACACACCGGTGTTGCTGTACAAGTAACGAATGGCACGTTCTGTTTACGTGACAAATCTTACTAATTGGCTGTGTCGGGTGGTCGCGGGTTTAACGACACATTTTTATATTTACGCGATGTAACCCCAAAAAAACCCACTGTATCATGGCAAAAGCAACTGTCACTTGAGAAATGGAAGATGTTGCACAATATGAATCATTGTTAAACAATAGATTACAGGTAGCGCAAGTCGGTCGTATTTAGACTGATCACAGTACAAATTAAGTTAGAGAAACATGCAACACGTACAGGATGCATATTCTTGGTTCTTTCGGTAAAGTCACGTAGAAGGGAAACAATAAAATAATAAAAAATATAAAACAATTAAATTCTCACACAAGCTTTAAATCAAAAATACAGGATGGCTAATGATAGCCCGACTGCTGATGAGACACTGCGTGTGGAAACCAGTCAACGCTTTGGTTGGTTTGAATCAACGCTTCTGAAATTATTCACTGATTGTGAATGTTTTGCTTATATTTTGTATATATGTAAAAAAATATATTTTGTATATATGTAAATATATATTTATATATTTAGACGGAGCCATATCGTCTGCTTATCCATTGTGTTACCATACCTCTCAACCCATACGATTTACCCCGTATTGTTGTACAGGAAAATTGAGTTTTCGAGTCCATACCGCGTACAGCCGTGTTCATACGGGCAAAAAACTAAGTTTTGTCTATTTTTGTGTGTGCCCCTTGAACGTTTGTTTATTTGTGTTTGTCTATTTGTTTGTGTGTTTGTCTATTTGTGTTTCTCCCTTGTGATGGGACTGTGTAGGATGAACGTTGAAATTTATAAGGGCACAGACCAATAAGGTCTGAATTGGTCTGTAATAAGCTAGGACCTTGATAAGGGGTTGACAGGTATGCAGGGTGAGAATAGGGTTTCCCCTTTTTTTCTGACAACAAAACAGGTGTTAAGATTTTAAAAACACCAAACTGAAACCTTTTACAAGGAATCATGTCTCCATTAACCACAATAATTGTGGTCAGAATGCAAACAAAAAACATACTTTGATAATATATGCATTTTTATTCTTAGTTTTTTCGGTAAAGTCACGTTGAAGAGAAGCAACAAAATAATAAAATATATATAAAACAATAAAAAAATTCTCACGACGTTTCGACCATAACTGAAGATGACCGTTTGAGTTATGGTCGAAACGTCGTGAGAATTTTTTTTATTGTTTTATATATATTTTATTATTTTGTTGTTTCTCTTCAACGTGACTTTACCGAAAAAACTAAGAATATGAATTACTGCAGTCACGAAAGCTTTAAATCAAAATATATGCATTGTCTTTGAAACTGATTGGTCCACACCAGAGACAGCTTTCTTTTGAGCCTCGTCTCAAGACGGTGTTAGACCAGAGGACGCCACAAGGCGTGCAGCACAAACACAATGCCACTATCAGAGTAATGAGAGCTCGGGGTGAGCAGCCACTTCACGGGACCTCCTTTGCCATGAAAAAAGGGGAAAACCTATTCTCATATTTTTGTACTGGCAAAGGAGGTCCCATGAGGTATGCAGTGCTTGTGTTCCCCGTAAGGACGCTGATGATTTTGTTTTCAGTTTGAACAGCCTCGAGTGGACATGGACCACGACCCCAATAAGACAGCTCGAAGTTGTGCTTTTCGAGAGGCTTGTAACGAGCTATGGATGGGACATTGCAAGAAAAACCTCGGATATGTCGAAAAACATTCATGTGTTTTCGAGATTTAGCGTTTTCGATGCTTTACATTTACTTATTCATAGGAAAGGGAAATGTAAATATAAAAAACATGTCTGTCGAAATTGAAAGGCAGTGAGGTGCAAACCACGTGGGCATATATCACGGATGACTTCCCAAAAACAACACAGTGTTCCGGTGGAACAAGTTGACGATACTCCACTCAGCTGTTGCCACCACGGGTGCCGTGGAAGAGCTTACAACATTAAAAACACACAATTTTAGCCTGCTCCTCTTTTTTTCCAATGCCATATCAAATATAAAATGATTATAATCAAATGTAATGATTAATTATAAAATAACATACTTAAACTACGAAGAGGAAAGAAGGCTGTTTTCACAAAATCAAAGCTCAACACAAACGTTGGTTACTTGATTTTCCAGGATATATAGCAAAAAAGGTTAATAGTTAAAATATACAATGGCCTACAGCTGTTACTGAAATGTGAATACTCAACCCCGATCTTAAGTCTACTTTCCAAAATATGTGGAAGAATGGAATCGTTTATAATATTATGCAAAAATATACAAAGGCACAATGCTGTTGTTGCTGCATCAGCACTCAACCAACAGCAAACTTACATCATTTTCCCAGAATATTAACTTTAAACCTATCTACACAATATATAATAAGTAGAAACACATCTATACAGCATATATACCTGCCAATGACGTTAGCAGTTTAAAAAAACACAATATCGAAAGCAAAACATCGAAAAGAAAACGGCGATGTTATTGGAGACATCAACACCATGTATCAACATCAGTGTCAAAACATCAACATTGACGTAAAACAGTCCGTGTCAAAACGTCGCTGTATCGAGAACCAAAACCTCGATATTCCTATAACAAACTAGGAATTCACTTGGATGGAATATTCTAAAAATGTATGTGGCCATTGATATAGAAACCTTTCCTGAACGAGATTTTTTCATGATTGGTTGACTCCTAGAACAGGGCTATTACGTTCTATGGTTTTTAGTGAAAGTTTTATTTTAGTGGTGTTGATGAATGCGTTGGGATTTTGACAATTGTGCTTGTTTGCACCAGTGCCAATTCTTCCAACTCAATTTTGCTTCGTGTTTGAATATAAGAACGGTTCCAAGTGCACACGATAACGCATTTTAAATCAGATAAGGAGTCGGTCAAGGAGATGTGGTCCCTGCGAAGACTCTGAACTGCGACATGAGAAAAAAATCCCCGAAACATAAGTAGGAAAAATAGAAACGCATCGATGAAAGGTGAAGTGTTAACCAACACAGATGTGCCGACGACAAAGTCAATATGAAAACTAATGGAAATGAATGAAGAACTTAAAAGCAAGATTGAAAAGTGCATGTCATGATAAATACGAGCAAAAGAAAAGTAATGATTATGATGGGAGGCTTTTGGAAAATTTCAGTAATGACCGGCAACATACGGGGATCAGTTTAACAAACCATTCTGGCAAATTGCCAGATGATGCTGGATGTAATTACCAGCGAAACGTCGTACTCAAAAATTGAAAATGTTGTGGATTCGCTCTTCAACACACCGGTGGGCTAAAGTAGTGAACTATTTGTCTTTTGTCAACGTGACACTTTTTTACTGTTCATAAGAAAGGTTTTTGGGTTAGATCGCGTTATTTATAAATGTGTCGTAACCCTCCACCACCCGACATTGCCAATCAGCAAAAAAAAGTGTCACGTTGACAAAAGACAAATAATTCACTACTTTAGCCCACCGGTGTGTTGAAGAGTGAATCCACAACATTTACAGTTTGAGTACGACGTTTCGCTGGTAATTACATCCAGCAACATCGGGAAATTCGCCAGAATGGTAAAGCCCTCACTTGCTCCCGGTCTTAAATAAAGCAGCAGGGTGACGTCATAATTTAACTCATTTCAGGTGCAGTGATTTGAGGCGGAGGGGGGGTATTGTAATTATATACTCGATTAGTAATCAGTCAATGGTTATGATTAGTAATGAGTTGTAGATTAGTAATTAGTTGTAATGTGTGTTAGTGATTATATGCTATATTAGTAATCCGTTAATTAGTATGTGTTTCCCCTATAAGGAATTGTAATGTGTATTATTTAATAATACGCTTCCAGGCCGCACTAAGCCTGTAGCTGTCAGAGCGATTAAAGTTATTTTTATTCCTCTCAATTTCAATGGATTCTCTAATTAGTCTTTGCCAATAATAATTAGTTTTACACAACACTTCAACGTTATCAAAATCAATTGAGTGTTCTTGTTGACAAGCATGTTCTGCCACTGCCGACAGTTGTGTTTGAGATCATTTAATATTTATTTGATGTTATTTTAGTCTTACGCTGATGTTACGTCCCGTCTGTCCAATATAGCATCTGCCACATAAACAATTAATCCGATATACACCTTCTGTTGATAATTTAGGTAATGCGTCTTTAGTGCAAGATACTAGTTTTGAATGTTGTGTACTGTACCAAATCTTACTGTAATGTTTTGCTTTTGCAAAACACGGGCTAATTTGTCAGTTACTCCTAAGATATATGGAATTTGTATTGTTTTAACAATCTGATCGTTTTCAGCAGTATTGCTTTGCGATCGTGATTTGGCATTCAGTGCTCTGTTAATTTGAGCATTATTGTAGCCATTATGTCGTAGTGCGTCTTTAACGTGTTTGATCTCTCTCACTAGACTTTCACCATCTGACACTGTTTTAGCCCGATGTATGAGCGTTTTGATAAGAGAGGATTTCTGAGCTGGATGATGATGTGAATCTGCATCCAGATAGGCATCAGTGTGCG